TCCCTGTGCTGGTTCAGGAGTTCGGGTTCCACGTCTCGGCCTTCCATCCGCTGCAAGCTGGCTTTTGTGTGACGTGTGAGGTAGGGCTCAGTGTCATTCCTCTGCTGCAGGTGTCCAGGCTTCCCAGCGGCATTGACTGAAGGGAGTGTCCCTTCCTGCTGTGTCTTTGCGTCCTTAGGAAAGAAGGTCTGGTGACCATGTTCCGTGGATGGTCTCCGGGCTCTCGAGGCTGTTCACTGGTCTGCGTGTCTGTCTGTCGGTCAGGTCATGCGGTTCTGATTGCTGCAGCTTCGTGATGGAGTTTGAAGCCAGGAAGTGTGGTTCCCCCAGCTGTGTTCCTCTTTCTCAGGATCGGTTTGGCTGTTAGAGCCTCATGGTTTCATGTGAATTTGGGGGCGGTTTTTCTGTTTCTGTGGACACTGGCGCTGGGATTGGGCTGGGAGTGCGTGGAGCCCATGCCTCACACTGGGGACCTTCCTGGTGAGTGTCCAGGGCACTTGCTGTCCTCGTCAGCTCATTGGTTTCTGTTCAGCACGGTGTTTGCATTTCCATCTCTTGGGGACATTCTTGCTTTGTTGACGCGCGTTGTCCTGACCTCCCGAGCACCCTGACGACAGTCACTGTCCACTCGGCCAGGAGCCGTGGAAGCCCACGTCGGCAGGGGCTTCTCCGGAGAGCTGGCCTGCTCCTTGGTGTGGGGCTCCTCTGCCTGGTTCTGCGTGTTCCGTGACACCCGTGCACCACACAGAGCAGACGCCTCTCCCGTGCTCACTGCTGTCCTCGTCCAGGAGGACCCCCCCCGCCCCACGTCGGCCCAGCCAGGGCTGTCTCCCCCACACCTCTCTCCTCCGAGGGCTTTTCCCCCCGGGGCTAGGGAGCCTGACCTGACGAGACAGGCGTGCCTCCTAGCTTCATTCGCTAAGTGTGGCTTAGTAGTCCCTGTGTGCAGATTCAAGGTAAAAAGAGCTGGAAGTGAGGCTCGAAAAAAGGTTGAAATTTTCTGCTGGGAGGCAGAGCCCAAGGCGAGCAGAAGGGAGGCGGGGAGAGGGTGTGGGCGGGGGGCAGCTGCCCGGGGCCCCGGCCGTGCTGACCCCCGGCTGCGCTGACCCACCGTCTGCCCGCAGGCCGGCCGCGCCGACTCTCCGCTCTGGAGGCTGAACCAGTGGGTGATGGTGCACCTGTTCCACTGCCGCATGGTGCTGACCTACCACATGTGGTGGGTGTGCCTGCGCCACTGGGAAGGCCTGGCCCGCAGCCTCTTCCCGCCGCACCTCGCGCTCTTCCTCGTGGGGCTGGGCCTCCTCACGCTGGTCATCAACCCCTACTGGACCCACAAGAAGACGCAGCAGCTGCTCACCCCCGTGGACTGGAACTTCGCACCCAGGCGCCCCCAGCCCGCCCGCGCCAACGGCCAGCCGCCGCGGAAGAAGGCGCAGTAGCCCCTCCGAGGCTGTTCCTTGGCCCGGGGACACTGACCTGGAGCAGGACGAGGGGCTCCCGCCTCCATTTGCCCCAGGAGAGACTCCTGCGCTGTGCTGACGCCTTGCCTGCTGGGCTCGCCCCGTCAGCACCGCACCTCCGCGTGTGTGTCCGGGGAGGGGCCGCGTGGCGGGACACACCTCGGCACCTGCGTCTTACCCACAGCCCCACCCCTGGTAGTGGGAAAGGGTCGTCCTCAAACAGGAAGTTCTGGGACCTGTTTCCCTGATGGGCGAGGGGAGCTGGTCTCGGCAGCGCCCCTGGTGGTGAGCGCGGGCAGTGACCAGCCTAGACGGAGCAAAGGGGCTTCCCATGGGGCCAGGGAGGCTTATCCAGAAGAGTTTTGTTTCCCTGTCGTGTTGCTTGGTCCACACAGCAGGGGAGACGTGACTAATCACATTTGTCTAGATTTTAGAGCTGTTTTTAACTCACTACGTTGCCAGTAGGTGCCCCAGCCAGACCGTAACTCAGAGGTTGGTGTCTCCATGTGGATTTCAGGTCAGGGTGGTGGTCACTTTCCCTGGGCTGCAGGGCCCTCCAGACAGCGCCAGGCCCCCTCTCCTCACCTCCTGAGGGCGAGCCCCGTCACCACCCTCGCTGAGTAGGGCCCGGCGGGACCTGCCCACCGTCGCACAGTTTTACTGACAGCTGTACGAGCATCTTGTTCTTCCCGTGAGTGTGCAATTAAGTGAGATTAAATGCAATTGAAATGAAAGTTGAAATGAACAGTTTGTATTGATTGAAAGCCCCCTCACAATGTTTTGGAAAAACACATTCACTCGTGGTGAGAATCGCGTGCGCCGGTTCAGAATGGCGGACGCGGACTTCCGGTGCTCTGACGTGAGGAGATGTAATGCCTGGTCATGTCATTTTAAGAACTGACTGCAGTCTTAAAACTGTCCCGCGAGTCGTGTCCCTGCTGAGTCGCCCTCGTGCTCACTGGAGACCCTGGGCTCCCTCCCGGGCCCCGAGTGGTGAGAGCAGAGAGAGCGTGGTGTCTCCACCCAGCAGAATTTTAGTAAAGTAACTGCTGTTGACAGAACCCAGAAGCTCGTCGGTTCTGGTCGCAACACTGTTGCCTCACTGTGCATGTGTTCTCTCTCACAGACACAAAACCTGATAGTAAGCCTTCACATCTTCAAAACTCAGTTTAAGGTTTGAATTGTTCAGGTTCATTTCTGCCTGACCCTCACTGGGGCTCAGCCTCTACACCCGGCATCTCCACGAAGATGCTGGCAGCACAGAGGTGGGGGTGCCAGGGAGCACATGGCCGGTCTCCACCCGCCAGCTCCCGGGAGGACCACGAGGCGGGGCGTCCGGGTAGGAAGGGCCTTTTGTGCCCCAATGATGCAGCACCAGGCGCCTCCTGCCTGACAGGCGTTGCCTTCGGGCCACAGGTGCTCTGCGGGCTCCAGCAGCGTGTGTGGAAGCGGCTGCAGAGAGGCGCCCGCGTGGCTGTTGAAGCGCAGGGTGGGGCTCGGCCCCTTCTTCGCCCTCAGACCCAGGCCCCTCAGGGTCCTGACCTGCTGAGCTCCGCTGCTGCTCCGCTGAACACCTGGGGTTTCTCACTTTCTGAAGCCTATGGATGGAGGGCTGCCCTGGGCCTCATGAAGCAGTCCCTCTGGGATCAGAGCACCCAGAGAATGGCTCCAGCAGGTGCCCCTCGCGGCCTCCCTCCTCAGGGTTCCAGCCAGGCTGCCAGTCCCGGGCTCAGACCTGACCCGTCCCTTCAGGACAGAGTTCACCAAGGCTGGCAGCTCTGGGAGGGACCCTGCACCGTGGGCCGCAGCCGCAGGAGGAGGTGGACCGGATGCCAGGTGAGCCAGCGCCCCCCCACCCCCCGACAGTCAGAGCCACTTCTGAGCGAGGATCTCAGCTCCCCCAGGTAAACACACTGTGTTTGCCTGCACTTCCACGGTGCACATGGGTGCTTAGAGCTCACCTCTTTCTGCACCAGATACCCATGCTCCTGGGAGAGCTCATTCATTCAGTGTTTCTCTTTTTACGTGTCTTCCTTTTCTTGGTGACTATGGTGTGCAGTGGTGCGTGCTGTCCTCCCTGATCGTGTTTAGGGTGCAGTGATGTGGAAAACTCAGAAATCTCTATTTTCTTTCTCTAATGACTGGGGACCCGGAGTGTTCTGGAAACCTGTCCAGGTGAGTGCCTGCCACGGAGAGCAGGAGTCCCAGAGCACCGGCGCCAGCCTCACAGGGACACCTAACCCAACACGACGGCAACAGGTATAGGCCCCTTTTGTAACCTGTCCCCCTACTGGGTTCCTCCCTAACTGTGGTGCAGTTTCACTGTGGCGCGCCAGTCTCTGGAGGCCTTGGTGTGGCGGACTGCAGGTCTGCCCTCCACCCCAGGTTCACACGTTGGACTCCTAACCCCAGTGCGATGGTGTCAGGAGGGGGGCCTTCGGGAGGTGCTGAGGTGCTGGGGGTGGGGCCGCCACTGTGAGACCGGAGAGCTGCCGCCCCTGCCCGCTTCCAGCTGAGTCTGCACAGAGGAGGGCGTGTGCAGGCCGGGAGACCCGGAACCTGCCCCCGCCGTCAGCTGGAGCGTCAGCCTCCGGGTCTGCGTGCTGTCAGAGCAGCTCCCATTCCTTGGCCGTACACGCCTGCAGCCCCCAAGCACTCAGAAGAGTCCGAAACCCAGCCCGTCACCGCCACCCGCAGCCATCAGGGGGTAAGTGTCAGGGCTTCCAGTCCTGGAGCCATGCTGCTGCTTCCCTGGGGACTCTGCTTTGCCGCTTTCCACTCTGCAGCCTTCACGGCGCTTGCGGCCTTGTCAGTGGTAAGACATAAGATGCCAGACCGCAGTTGGAAGCGGGCATGTCTCAGCCAGTTTTTTTGTTTCTGTTGAGACAACCCTCAGTTCTTTTCCGAGAAACTTCAAGCCTGGTTGCTCTGCCCCAGAAGCTTTACTTCCGCGTGGGGCGGACCCAGAGCACAGGGCTTCGCGGCCGGGGGAGCTGGGTGTGCGGAGCACCGTGTTTCAGGAAGTTCGAGGCCGGCCACGCTGGTCTCCCGTTCTCCGTCTTCCAGGGACTGCTTGTTTCACAGTGAAACATGTAGCCTCTTAAAAAAGGTAATAAGCTGAAAAGAACATCGCTGAAAATGATGGGCTGCGTTCTAATTTGGAGCCAGTTACCCACGGACTGTGGGGTGAACCTTAATCAGTTCATCCTTTGCCATCGGGGCTGTCTGCCCCCCTCGCCCCTCCGGCGTCAGGTGCCCGGAGCACGGGCTGGCCCCAGGGTCCTTCCTGCCTGCCGCTGTTTCTGACCACGTCCTTTTTTTCTCCCGGGACAGGATGCTCTGCTCTGTGTTGTCCCTGCACTGGGCTCAGCCGTTTCCGTGGAGAAGGCCCGGTTCCTGGGAGGAGTGGCGTGTGGACGTCGGGGCGTGAGTCCGAGGTGGGCTCGCTGCTCGAAGGTCGTAACCTCCGGGCTGTCCTGCTGCAGCCCAGGGCTCCCTGCCTGCCCCTCCGCCCTGAGCAGCGAGGACCTGACTCCAGCGGCAGTGTGCGTCCAGGTGTGTGCAGAGGTGCAGAGCTGCGGCCTGCAGACACACATCCGGCCCCTACGAGGAGGCTGCCGTGTGCTGGCGGGGTTCTCTCCCTCACTCGGAGGGTGTACAGTCAGAGATCCCTCGGTGCCCTCCTCCCAGCCCCCTTCTGGTGAGCCCGTTCATCGTTTGAGAGACAGGTCCCTCGTCGCTGTTTGCATTCAGTCTTAGGTCTTGTCCGGTTCTTGCTAATTTGATTGTATGTTGGAGTATGTAGAGCATTACCCGAAAGTCAAAACTGTTCAAAAAGCTGCGCTCAGAGAAAAGTCACTCTCTCCTCAGTTCCCGCATCCTGCTCCTTCAGGCTTCGTTCACTCTGACAGCTTTCTTGAACCGTAATTCACGTGCCATCCAGCTCCCCGCTTCGAGCGTCTTGGTGAGGGAAGCAGCAGTCGTGTGCCACCTTCGTCTGGTGACGGATGGTGACAGACCTGCCGTGATGGTCGCTTGTGCCGCACAGAGGTGACCCCCGTGCTGTGTGACAGGAACGGAACAGCGCTGTGGGTGATTGCACTGCAGAAAGCGGCAGACCCGGAGCAGGAGAGCAGACTGGTGTTACCAAGGTGGGCGGGGGCTGGGGGCCTGCAGGAAGGCAGCGGGAAGTTCGAACTTGCAGCTGTGAGTCAGGGAGCACCAGGGCTGTGAGGCACAGCGCGGGCAGCGTCGTTCACTCTGCTGCGTGTCGCGGGTGAACGTGCACAGAGCAAACCCTGAAAGTCCTCATCGCAAGGGGAAAACTTTTTCCTTCCACACACGCTGTTTAAAGTCAAATCGATAGCTCTTCGTTACATCTGGATTTTAAATCAGCCGGAAAATCCTCCTTTCCGCCCAGGTTAGAGGGTAATCGTGTGGCCCCACTTTTCCCACGTTTCGATCTCTGGTCAACGTAGCTTCACTCTTGCATGTGGTGTGATGGACGGATCGCGTTTCGTCTTTTTCCAGAAGGCTCTCGAGTTGTCCCAGCACCGTGCGCTCAGGAGTGCGTCTAGTGTCCCGAGGGGAGACCTGCCCTCCTGGGCTGAATTCCCTGCGTGTGCGGCCCCGTCTCTGGACGTCGCTGCACCCTGTGGGGCGGCGCGGCACAGCGTTCGTTTTCGTGGCCCCGTGCTTGTTCTTAGTGTTTAGATGAACTGTAACATTGGACAGTTTTTGTCGAACAGCAGGAAAAAAGTTAATTGATACTTTATTGAGGTCCCGTCAATTTCTCAGGAACCTGGTGCCCCAGAGACGCCCTGTCCCAGGACGAGGAAAGCCCTTGCAGCACTGGTTCTGCTCTTCCCGGCGCATCACTGCGTAGCCACTGCCCACCACTCGGGGTTGTGCCGCAGGCATCACGGCTGTTTGTCTGGGCCCGGCTCTGGTCTGTGTGGTCCCCTGGCTGCCCTGGAGGGCCCAGGACAGCCTCGCCAGGCATTCCTTCTGTTGCATCTTGTTGTCATAATGCTCCCGAGGCCAAACTCCTCCTGCTCACCACACGACAGGCCAGTAGACTGGGAGACGAGGTGCTTGGGCAGGAATGACGACTTCATTGGGAAAGCCGGCAGACCGAGAAGATGGGGGACCAGTGTCCCCAAGCAGAATTCAGGCCCCTCTTATACTAGAAAGGGGAGCGGGTGCTTGGTGGTGGCAAACTTCCTGGTGTCGGAATCCTTTGTTCTTGCCGCTTGTCCGCTGTCCGCGTGGGTCAGGCCCTGGCGTCCCTGTAAACCTCCAGCGAGACAAGTGTGATTCTCTGTCCTGCAACGTCTTCTCTCTGTGAATGGGAAGGTGTCCTGCCCTTGCAGGTCAGAGCCGTGAGAGTGGGCTCTCCCGTGTGTTTCAGGCTCTAGGCGACATCCTGTTACAAAAGGTGCAGAACCAGCAGGACTCAGCCCAGGAGACGGAGCCCAGGGCTGGAGCCACAGGAACGGATCCAACACGGAGTCAGGTGTGTCCTTTCTGTCACCACAGAGCCAGCCAGACCGAGGGCAGGTGCCCAGCGAGAGCCTTGCTGAGGGCTGGCGGCTGTCCTCGGGCCGACACGCCCCTCCTGGGTGTCCAGGGCATCTTCAGAGCCCCTGACACGGGCTCTGCCCGCGCCTGGCAGGTGCCCCCCCAGATGCCTGCGTCCTTGCTGTGGGGAGAGGGCTCCTCTCCGGCTGCGTTTGCTCCCC